AATTGGATTCAGCATGCAACAATCCAACACCACGCTTGTCCTGAAAGACTGTTATGACAGATGGAGGCCAAAGTCATGGACTTAGTGGACACCATGGATAGCCCATAGACTACAGGGATGATATTTCTATGTGTATATCACAAAGCAGGAAAAGTGATGGAAATTGTGGGAACGCACGGAAAAATATGGAATCTGCACGATCCCACTGTGCTGCTGTATTGTCTGAAACAGTCTGACTCCATGCCAGAGTCTCGTTTGCTTCATCTCAGTTTGGAGTGATTAAATAGAAGTTTGCAAAGGTAATGATCTTTAATCTTCTTTAATCTGAAGGCATTGTCTAAGCAGAACTGAGCTGCAAAGGAATTCTGTGTGAGAGACACAAGTGTGAGAGACGCAAATTTCGTTGCTCTTGTCTACCCAGATTTACATTGCCAAAAACAAAACAAACAAAACCCCAAAAGTAACATGAGAGAGCGCTGGAGCCTTTGAACGTGTGCATTACAAGGGATGCAGAGAATGCATTTATGATTCAAAATCTTAAACAGCTGAGAAATAAATATGCTAAGTAGACGAATCTGTTTGCAGATGGTAATGCTGCCAGGCTGCCTCTGCTCAGCTGTCTGATCCTTCAGTGCCTGCTTTCCTGGTTCCTGGGGTCCCTGATTAAGAACTACAAGGTGAGGCGCAGAGTGTGGATACCTTTGCACACCTGGGAGGGCAGCTTGGTGGCTGAGCACAGATACCAGAGGCTGCATCCAATGCAATGTCAGGGGATTGGGAAAAATGTAAAAAAAAATAAAATAAAAGGGCTCTACCACCACTATCCGTCCTTCACACACACGTCAGAGCTGCTGTGTGGCACGGATGGGAGAAGTTTATTTTGCAATGAGAGGGGTTAGCATTCTGCTAAGGGCTTCTGCAAAGACTGGATCCAATTTTCAGAGCCTGTTGCCAATATTTGTGAGTCATTTCCTTGGAATTCTACCTTTGGTGTTTATTTCCCTTAGAAGGAAACTTGTAAAAGAATAATAATAGCACTCATTCTTCATGGAAAGCAGTGCGGGCTGAGCGGCAGACAGCTTGCTCTTTGTTCCCAAACACTTCTTGTTTGTGCAGTTTACCTTCTTCAGTGGACAGAAAGTGAAGAAAGCTATACAATTAAACTCCATAGACACCCAATTTGTGATGCCAGAAGGCAATGCAGCCAGCAGGCAGCCTAACTTGACACCTCTGAAAGAAGGAAAGCTGCTCTGTGGCTGGAGAAGCCCCCATGTGTGACACTGTGACACTGGGCTCTGCTGCCTCGGCCAAGCCTGAAGCTGTCAGCTCTTCTCTCCACCATCAGGCACCATAACTGCACCCAGCCCCTGTGCAGAGCCAAGTTGTCCCAAAGGTAACCCAGCAGAAGGGCTGTCACTGCAGCAGCAGGAGCAACACTCACCACCAGGATGCTGAAGTCCTCTGCAAACCAAATGGAATATTTGGGGGAAAGTTCAACCTCTACTGCCACACCACCAATATCTGCCTCTGACACTGTGGGCCAACGTTATAAGACAGAAGGCATTACTTCTGGAGCAGCCCTCATACGAAAGGAAAGCTCTTTCTATCAGTACACCTGTGGAAACCAGAAACAAAGAAAACACAACTGTTAAGAAGTCAAATTATTTGTTTTCAGTTTTTCTCTGAAGATGTGCTTGCTAAGAAAATTGGGAAACCTTGACAAATTGGGATCAAGAGACTCTGAAACATTCTTATGGGAAGAATCATAGAATCCATAGAGTTGGAAGGGACCTCTGAAGGCCATCTAGTCCAGCTGCCCTGCAATGAACAGGGATACCATAGCCAGATCAGGTTGCCTAGAATTCAACCTGTAAGAATCAAAAGAAAAAAACGTGCGAGTTAGGAATGTTAGAAAAGTATTTGCTTGGAATTCCATATTGAGAAAGAGACATCAGAGTATTTGGGCTTGTATCCTTGAAATTGGGATGGAAAAAATTGAAGACACTTTTGAAACACTTTCATGGGTGGGCCATATCTTGACACTGTTCCTGATGTCAAGTGAATTCCCTTTCAACTGAGCAGTAAGTCCTGCCCCTAAGGAAAAAAATAAAACCCAGTGGTTTCCTTGAGTTGCCCTGGAGTGAGGGCCAGAAAGCACAGGAAGAATGCTGGGGCTGGCACTGGTCCATAGCTCATCTGTACCTCAGGGGGCTGAGGAGCAGCACTACCCCTGCTGGTGCCCAGATGGTGTTCTGCCAGTTCAAATCCAGCATGACCCCATGAGCTGGATGTTCCAGGTGCTTTCCCACTCACCACGATGCTGGTCCTTGCTGTCAGAGCCCTGATGCAGGGATTGCCTCTGGCTCTCTGCTTCTGCTCACTGTGGTTAGGCCAGTGTGGTACACTGTGAGTCCCCAATCCCACAGCTTCTTTCACAGCACTGCTGTGACTCCACACATACCCACATGAACAACAAGCATTTTAATCCAGGCCCTTTAATCTCCCAGCTCTGTGACTTCCTCCTCCTCAAACTCCTGGCACATCAAGGCACGCTGACCGGCTGGGCCATGCACTCCCAACATCCTCCTCCCATCTGCTGCTGCAATCAGAGTCTCTCCTCTCTCCTCAGGACAAGAGCAGTCATCCCAAGTCCATTCTCCATCCTTGATGTCATTAGACCAGCAGCATCATCCTAACAGGCATTTCATATTTGTTGGTTTCTTTTTTTTTCTAGAGGCATTCTGGATGTGCATAAAAAGCCCTTTTCACTGCCATCCCATCGGGCTTGTTACATGTGAATGGCATCATTACAGCTCTCTCATTAACATCACAATGGCTGCAAAGGAACACCCCAGCGAATGGAGTAGAGCAGTGACTGGGAGTAGTCCCACTGTGCAGTTGTGTGCTTGTGAAGCTGTGCACTGTGAAGTTGGACACTTCAACCTTGGGGCTGCTGTAATGCCTTGGCGTGTCAGAATGGCAGCAGTGGTGGTGGCAGCGGGTGCTCACCGTGCTGCTGCAGCCATGTGGGGCTCCCAAATGGCTTTCCAGAATGGGACAAAGGCCCAAGTGTTGGCCTTTCACTGTGATTTTGTGTGGCGAATGCATTGTAAGCACCAATGTGAATCTTTCACCCTTTATTTCCAGTGGTGTTAATGGCAATGAAACAATGCATGTGCTGTTCTGCAGAGTCTCACTGAATTGAATAGGATTTGGGATGGAGTCCCTCTATTGCCTACAATGACGTAACCCAAAGGGGATGGGTTGATGGGGGCACGATGGGCTCTGGCTCTGCTTGCAGCCCTGATCCCCTTGTGCTTTGGCTGAAGCATTCAGAAGGGGACTGAGAGTTCAGCCCCTGGCCAAGCATCACCCTTGCGCCTCTCTGACCTTCCCACATGGCCACAGCAGCTGGAGACTGGCACTTCTGGAAGCCCAGTGGGCACATGGAGCCCTTGGGAAGGCTGCTGCTCTGCCCGCCTGCAATTCCTTGGCTACAAAATGGGGCTCATTTTGTAGCCGAGTGGCTCTGCAGATCATGCAGAGACTTACCAGCTCGCTTTGGGATTTGGGCTTTATATTTTTTCCTCCTCAGGAAGCTCTGTTCTTTATGCCTTGTTTCTGTTCCATCTGAGCGCACGGCAAATTCACACGGCAGGCAGCTGTCAGCGGGAGGTGGCTGCCCCACCTCGGTGCCTGCTGCGCACAGGAGAAGCAGCCCGGCTGCTCTCCAGGCTGTCCGGAGCAGCCTCTTCAAGACAAATCAGCAGAGCTGTGCAGAAGGCATCCCAGCACTTCCTTCCTCCCTTCCTCCCCTCCCGTGTGTCTGTTGAAGCAAAGAAGCACCCACTGGCGATGAGACATGTAAGAGAAGGCACAGCCAAAATTCTTGACTCCGATTTCGTTCTCATGAAACAATCCCACAAAGGGATGCTGAACCCATCAAGAGGAGGGATCCTGACCTCTCCCTGGCGCAGCAATCAGCTGCCCCCAGCCCTTATTCCTAGAAGGCGAGTGCTGGATTTCAACGTCTCCCTGTGGGCAGCTCCTTGCGCAGACTGAGGAGAGGAGCCCACGGGTGCTTCTAACGGCAGCAGAACCCTTTGGAACAAGAAATACACGACCGCTCGGCAGCTCTCAGCAGCTCTCTTGGCCCTGTTTTCAGCCAGCGTAGTCAGCCAGCGCTTCTCGTGCCAGCATTCCGCTGGGAACAGAAGGTGCGAGGGGTGCGAGACCCACGGTGTGCACCGGAGCTGCTCATGGGCTCCCCATCCCCGCGTCCGCGGTTCTTTGCCCACGGCACGGTCCGATGGCGGCAGATGCCGACGCTGCGTTCCCCTCTTCCGCCGCGGTGCGTTTCCCGGAGCCGCCCGCGGGGCACTGCCACCTGCGCGGCCCCGTCCCGCCGCGGGGGGCCGAGAGGAGAAGGAAGAAGAGGAAGAGGAGGAGGAGGAGGAGGAGGGGAAGGGCCGCGCCCGGCTCATTGTTCCGCGGCCGCGCTCAGCCCTCGGCCCCGCGCGAAGTTCGCTCCGCAGCCGCCCCCGCCCCGCCCCGCCCGGGCCGCCCCCCCGGGGCCGCCGGCGGCGGCGCGGAGCCGCGGCCAATTTGGTGCCTGTGTTTTGCCTTGGAGGCAGAGCCAGCGCGGCCCGAGCGGGGCGAGTGGAAACAACTGCTGGAGTCTGTGCTCCTCTCCACTGGGAGGGAGGGAGGTTGGGAGGGAGGGAAGAAGGGAGGGAGGAAGAGCGGGAGGGAGGGATAGAGGAAGAAAGAAACGCGATCCCCGCCGCTCCGCGCCCTCCCGCACGCCACAACACACGCACCAGACCCGCGCCCGTCGGTGCCGGCGCGCCGTGCCAGCTGCAGCGGCGGAGGATGGGCAGCGACTGAGCGGGTCCGCGCCGCCGGGTGAGCGCCGCCGGGGCCGGGCGGGGGCGGCGGAGCGGGGCTGGGGGCGGCGGGAGGGGGCTCGGGGCGTGCGTCTGTCTGACATCCGCCGGTAGGTGCCTGCCGCGGGGTCGAGGCGGCCAGGAGGAGGGGTGCCGGGGCGCTCACCGCGCTGCTTCCTTGCAGGAGCCGGCGCCCGCCATGACCCTGGTGCTGCCCATGCAGCGGCTGGGCCGCCCCAGCGCCGCCGAGGGAACCGCCGACCTCGCCGCCTACCGCGCCCTCTGGGAGCCGCCCGCCTGCGGCCGCCCCGGCCCCGCCGCCCCCGGCCCCGCTCCGGTCGCCGCCGGTCCCCCCGCCGCAGGTAGGCGCCGCCGGGCGGGCAGCGGGCGGCGGGGAGCGGGGCGGCCCCGCGCAGGTGCGGCCGGGCCGGAGCGGGGCTGCGAGTCGCCCCGAGGGCGGAGAGAGGCCGCGGGATGCGCGGGGTCCGCGGAGCGGGCGGGCGGAGCGCCGCGTCCGGTGGGCGCTGCTGCGGGGAGACGTGGCGGGGCCGCGGCGAGAGGGGAAACGGAAAGTGTTTTGTTTGGAGAACCTCCGTCAAACCGCATGTCATTTGTCGTGTCTGATTTATTGCCCGCAGGATCGCATTACAGGGGAATTTCAAATCCTGCAGCGGCATCCAAGATCGCATACTTTAAAAGGAAATATGTGGAAGAAGAGGATTTTCACCCGCCGCTCAGCAGCTGCGCGCACAAAGTACGTTTCCCAAGAGCCGCTATTTTTACCCCGCGCACCGGGCTGGGACGCTCCTGCAGCCTGCAGCCTGCAGCCTGCACACAGGCAGGTGGCCGGCACTCGCTGCGTGCCCCGTGCTGTGGGCATCGTGCTGCTGCCCGGGGAGCGAAGGCAGCCGTCTGAGCCTAAACGCTCAGCTAACTTTTTTCCCCAGATTCTTTTGTTCCTGGGTAGTTCATCCCACGCGTACAGAAGTAGGGCTGGAACGCCAGACGTGAGAAACGGAGCAAATAGGGCCCTGCTTCCCTGTGCATCCCACACCTTCCCCTGGGGAGGACACACAGCAGGTTCCCTGCAGGCTGCAGAAGAGCAGAAGGCTCAGCAGGCAGCGCCGCGCCTTCCACGGTTAATCCTGTTTTAAAAAAGCCAATAACTCCAAAAGAACAGAATAGTAAGGAAAAGAGTATTGTATTTATTTTTTAACAAAAGCCATCAAGGGAGGGATTACAGCAAACACTTCCCAGGCAGTGAATACCTAAACTGAAATCAGATTTTTTGGTGGGAGGTTTTGTGCTGGTATTGGTAAGGAGCTGAGCACAGGAGTGGGATGCTTGGGGACAGTGCAGGCCTTGGGGCGCCCTGAGGCCCTGCACCCAGGGGCGCCTAAAGCTTTCCCAGCACCTCTGCTGCATCCCAGAGACAGCCTGAGCGGAGCAGGTCCTGCCAGTGCCCAGTGCCTGCCAGGACAGCATGCAGGGCCTGCTTGGGCCCCACGCTGCAGAGGTATGGGTGGTGCTTCCCACATGCTTCAGGGCAGCCAAAGGAATTTCCAGCTACAGATAGCACTGGCTGGGAATGAGCCTTCAGCCGGGAGGTGGAGCAGAACACTTGGTCTGCTTCCGGGGTGATGTGCACCTAGCATGGAGGGTGTTGAAAGATGCCCTCTCCCATGTGTTGCACCAATCTCTGTGTTCCGCCAGCATTGTTCTTGAGTAGGTTGTTGGGTTCTGTATGGCAAAGAGGAGGAATGGCTGGTTACCTGTCTCCTTCTGGTAGTATAAAGAAATAGTACTTGGACATGGACCTGTTGGAGTGTGTCTGGAGGAAAGCCACAAAACTGATCCAAGGGATGGAAGCACCCCTATGAGGACAGGCTGAGAGTTGGAACTGTTCAGCCTGGAGAAGAGAAGGCTCCGGGGAGACCTGATAGTAGTCTTTCAGTATCTAAAGAGGGGTTGTAAGAAAGAAGGGGACAGACTCTTCAGCAGGGCTTGCTGTGACAGGACAAGGGGAAATGGTTTCAAACTAAAAGCGGGGAAATTTAGATCAGATATAAGGAAGAATTTTTTACAGTCAGGCCGGTGAGGCATTGGCACATGTTGCCCAGAGAGGCAGTGGATGTCCCATTCCTGGAGACACTCAAGGTCAGGCTGGGGGGGCTCTGAGCATCTGATGAGCTGTAGGTGCGCCTGTTCAGTGCAGGGGAGTTGACTTTGATGGCCTTTAAGGATCCCTTACAACTTCAGTGATTCTACCATTCTGTGATTCTACTACGTTAACCTCTAGGCTTAATATTTAGAAAATTACTGTCTAACAAAGAAGAGTTTCAGCTGCAACCTTGCTTGGAAGCAGGGCCAGTTTTTGCTTTTACGAGGTACTTTGCTGCTTCTGAGCCCTGCAGACAAGACCAGGCTGTGGAAAGAGCTGCAGGGCTGGGAGAGCTGAATGGATGTGAAAAGCAGCTGTGCTCTGAGCGCTTTCAGTCCTCATAGCTACGACTTCCACTCTGCAAAAATGCTGTATCCATGTGGGAAAGGGAAGAATGAGCAAGCCACAGATGGGGGGGGGGGGGTTAGAGCAGCCTGTCTTTGTGCTGTGCTTCTCTCCTCCTACACAAACCAAATTATTACTAAAAATGAAAATTAGTTAATGCTGCATACAGTAGCATGTGTTACCCCCTCTCTGTTTTGATTCCCGGGGCAGCAACTTCAGTGTGGAGCAGGGGCCCCCCAGGGCAGTAACCTGCTCCTGCTGCCAGTGCTAGGAAAGCAAGCCCTCGTGGGACTGCAGCAGGGGGAACCGATCTGTGGGCTCCTGGCCAGGATCCCTGCAAATCCCCGTCCTCTCTTTGTTTCCTGACCTTGTCCCTGCCTCCCCGCATTCCCACCGGTCCCATGGAGTGCGCGGTGTCGTGCACGGGCCAACAGCTGCTCTCCAGATGCTGCGATGCTTTGAGATGGTTTCTCCCTGCTCCCTGTGTGTGTTCCTATATGTGAGAGCGGTGAGCGAGGGCTTGGCAAATGGAGACCTCCTCGCCGAGGGCCCCTTCCACCGGCAGTGGGTGAAATGTTCTGGCACTCATTGCTGGCTGCATCCTGCAAAGCTTTGCCTATCCTTCCTGCAAAGAGGCTGCGGGAAGAACCTGTGCCTGGCTTCAGAGCTCAGTGGGAGCCCCACAGTGGATGGGACTGGGTCCATTCACATCAGAGAGCTCCCATCACCAAAGCAAAACAGTATGACAATTTTGTTTTAACCCCAAATGCTGAGAAAAAACATGTTCCACATGGGTGTGCAGCTTGGGAATCTGGTTTTAGTTGCCTGAGGAGGAGAAGTGGAAAGGCAGTGGTACAGAATGAATACCCTGCTTCGTTTTCTTTCTCTTGCCTGGAGCAAAGCCGGTTGACTTCAGTTCTGTGTCTTCTGTCCTTTGTATTTTCAGACAATCTCGGTGTTTGAGGAACGAGCCCATATTCTTTACATGTCTTTGGAAAAGCTGAAGTTCATTGACGATCCTGAAGTCTACCTGCGGAGATCCGTCCTCATCAACAATTTAATGAAGCGAATCCATGGAGAAATCATCATGCAGAACAACTGGTGCTTCTCCGCATGCTCCTTTGGGGCTGCCTCGCCACAGGAGTGGTTTGTGCCCCAGGACTGCCCCTACCGAAAGCGTCTTCGGATGGCCAAGGAGGAGTATGAGAAGCTCCACACATGCTGCTTCTATCAAGAATGCGGCAGTCAGTACTTGAACCTTCCCTACTCGGTCAATGCCAGCACAGAAAATAATTCTTCCTCCTCTCCCTCCTCCTCCTCGTCCCCCATTTCATTGCCGAGCTGTTCTCAGCAGGTGGATTATGACATTGGCAGTGCCCCTTCTTACAGGAGTGACGAGCAGATACCTGCAAGTGAAATATTTGTCACTAATGCCAGGCCTCATGCTAATCAGGACAAGGCCAAATTCACTGACGAGAAGGGCGGCGACGAACCTGAACGAGACAACGTGCCCCTAAACTGTGAACCTGTAAGAGGCACTCATGCTTTTGAATGTAAAGGCAAATTTTATGACTATTTTGAGACTGGGTGTAATGACAAGAGTGATGTAAGCGAATCTTGGAAAAAATCCTTACGGAAAAAAGAATCTTTACCAAGTAATAAAATGTGCTGCAGCAAAGGAAGTAAAATATGAGGCATCTTTCTTGCTCTGTCGAAGCATGTGCGCTTGTCTATCAAATTTTTATTTTGAATGGATTTTTTATAGTTTTCTACAAACGATACAATCACGCCACAAACATTACGCGTAGTTTTAAATGACTGGGGAGCAGATTGCGTAGCACGGTGCTCTCATCTGCATCAGTGGGCTATTTATAAGTGTGGAGACTTCATAAAGAACACAGTTGCGTTGCCACTTAGCGCTGTAGTCTGTGCAGCTATGGTGTAGCTTTTGTTGCTGAAAATACCAATCAGCCAGATGCGGAAAACGTATTGTTGTATACATCGCCGCCCCCAAGAAGTCTGCCATTAATTAAGAAGAACCTCCATTATGTTTACGAAGGAATTAGAAGTCTGGTAAACAAATTGATGCTACCAGCAAGGGCGATGTGCTCCCTCCGACTCAGTGTTTGCTCTGACAAAGGACTGGCTACGGGGACTGGGTTATAAACCGTCCTTACGCGTTGTACTGATACTTCTGAACTCCTGGATTCAGCATCTTGTTCAACTGACAAAATGGGACATAGCATAAGGAAATAACCTGTTTGTGGGATCTTAACCAGAAACACAACATGCAACTCCAGCACTTGAGCGTTGTCACCTTGGCTGTAGTAACTAATGGGGCTTGTTGTTCTCCAGGGCAGGTTTTTTTTTGGTGCCTTACTTTTTGTCTTAATTTTTGCCAGCGTGAAAATTAAGTATAAATCAGTGATACAGCAGGGATTTAACCTAAGCAGAAGAAAAAAAAGCACAGGGTGGATCAGCATTATTAGAAACCTTTAACCTTTGAAGTACTGAGTTCAACTTCCTATTCAAACATCTCTGTTCTTCCTTTTTGATGCTCAATTGCTTTTTGATTTGCCATCCTTAGGAAGGGATTTAAGAAACAATAGAGAGATGTCTCTTGTAAACAAGCATTCGATGCTTGAGTGTTTCTATGGCAACTGTCTGTTGCTGGGGCTCTTTTTTTTCCCTCTTCGTATAATGAAGTTCATGAACCAGTGGCATGTTTTATACTTTATTCTGTTTCGCATAATTTCTCTCTTTTAGATTGCAAAAGCATGCGGGAGTTTTATATTACTTTTGCTGTTGATTTGAAAAAAGTCAACAAAAGAAAACAGAAAGCACAATGTTAATTAGTCAGTAATGTGGCGATAAACATGATTTTATCTGAATGAATGTAAGGCTTTTAATTTTAAAAAAGAACATTTTGGAGAAATGAGCTGAGGTTTCTGTGGCTAAGGACAACATTTAGTCATCCCTAGGCAGACTGTTTGCAGAACTGTGCTGTTGAAAATGCCCAGAAGACATTACCAGGATTGGAGTGAGCATTGCGAGTCCTAGATCTACCAAATTAATTAGTTCCCACAGTCCCCTTAACAACTGGCAGGATGTGCTCAGCAAAATAGCCACATCCAAGACACGGCGGGCTCATAATAGCTGCCTGTTCCCACAGCATCGTGCGTCCAAGTGGCGTCTTCCCTTCTTGGTTCATGTCCAGAGGGCAAGATCCACCACAGTGCAGAGACCTCTGGGCTGTGATTTTTTAGGACAGCATGCACACCTCACTGTCACATTTACAGTCTGGGCAGCTTTCATGAGTGAGTGCAGTGGTGACGGGGAAAATGGTCCATGCTTCTGTGTAAGGTGACCATAGGGAAATGTTGAAGACGTAGCTCAGTGCTAGCCTTTGTCTTAGCACTGTTACCACCTTTGTGTTGGCTGCGTGAGTGGAAACTGACAAGTTTGTAAGGGTCACTGTTGGGAAGAATGAGAGTCTAAATCTCACCTGATTTCTCCAAGACAAAAGCTTTTTTATTAATAATAATAATATTAAATATAGATCTCATTCATACAGTGTATGAGTAGGATCATCATTTAGACATTTGTCCACATGGACCAATTTTTTTAAAAAAACTGATTTTTCTTGTGTTATACCCGGATAGTCCAGTAACGTCTGCTCTTTTCCAATATTTGATAAACACTTGATGTTTTAAGCTTAAATATTAGATGCTTGTATACTAATGTGTTGTTGTAGTAAAGTGAGATTTCCTTGATATATATTTATTAAAATGACCAAAATTCATTTTAATTTTACATCTCCAATGGCTACTGGATCCTTTTCCTGTGCTCCCCTCCCTTGCCCAAGGAAATCCCATTAATCCACTGCCCCAGTGCTGAAGAGGTTACGCTGTGGTTGACACCCAGTCCTGTAGTGGAGGCCAGGATGGAGCTCAGCATCACCAGGTCTCAGAGACCTTTAGGACAGGCTGAAGATGCACCAGAAAGCAATAGGCTGCTCTTTGTTCAGCCAAACACTGCCCAAGGCAGAAATTGGCTAACAGTTTGTGGAGCGCTGAAAGCTTTTTGACCATAAGAGCAGCTTGATCAAGAGCAAGCCTGCACATACAAGGTATGGCAGTTTTGGGGTTAAATTTGCACCAGTGGAAGTGACATGAACTGACCACTCTAATAGCTCCTTCAGTTCCAGGCTCACCTACAAATGAATCCATCGTATCTCTGGGCAGTCCTACTGAGTGTCATCAAGCTCTGTAAGGAGTGAAATATCTCATTTCAGAAGGTCACCCTAAAGTTAGGTGATCTTTCTGCCTTTTCCAGAGTCTGCCTCACAAAAATACTGAATGTACTGCATTGTGCTCAGCACATTAAGTTACCCTGTTTGCTTCAGAAGAGTCAGAGGTATCTTGTGTTAGTAAAGGAGTTGGAAACACCCCTGTTCAAGTGCCAGAAATGCAACAGCTCTTGACAGGCTTTCTTGGGCTAGTAGGGATTTTGTAGCTCAGTTTTGTTTTGATTTATGGCACATGGAGAGTGCAAACCAGATTAGATAGGCCTTTTTCCCATTGCGTGCTCCAATACTGGGAACAGTTACTATCACACATTTACAAGAAATCGTTCTTTTCCAGAGTGATGTGAAGCCTTTCATCCATATATTCTGTACATAACTACTATTAATGAATCATCCTGAGCTTGGTACCGGTCTATCTGCCTGAAGAACTCTTTGAGAAGAACTTATCTCCAGGGCGATCATTTCACTCCCTGCCTAAGACACTTTGCTCCTGCTGTTCAGCAGGCTGATTCCTGCTTCCATCGGTACTTCCATAATATGCGGAAAACAAAACAAAAAAATTGTGCAAGGATTGCACTGTATTGCCAGGGAAAAGGATTTCACGTGGAGTTTTATTCAGCAAACGTGACTCAGAGACACCTGGCCTTTGTCCCTGCGTGTCCCTTGCTCTGCAGCCTGGGAGGCGAGGGCTGCCCTCACCTCAGGGAGATGCTCAGGGCTCTCAGCAATGGTCCAGCTTTTTCCCAGCTGTGTGAGGCACCCCTAGGGATCATCTTGGCTGCAGAGCTCGGCCAGGACATGCCAGAGAGGATCCCGGTGGAGATGGGAGAGAGGCATCCCATGTCACAGCCAAGCCGCTCCGCCGCAGCCGCCTGGAATACATAGTAATTTCCTGTGTTTTTTCAATCTCACTTTAACTTCTCTAACAGATGGGGAAAGATGACTAAACCAAGGGAGTTTACAAAAGTTCGTCTTGTGGTGTTTGCAAACTGTCTCTGTGAGGTCCATTTGCTGTAGTGTAAACACGGCTGTGGCAGGGTGCCTGGTGCTTTCACACAGCTAATCCTGCTCAGCTGAGGGCCGACCACGTGAGCTACAGTGGAGGGCCAGGTCTGTGTGGTGAAACCAACACCAATCAGCCCTGGGGCCGAGAGCCTTAATATGAGGCCTTTGCTCCTCCACAGAAAGCGCAGAGCAGCTCTGACTGGGAGACCAGATTGAACTCCACACTAAGCTTTGCAACAGGGAGCTGTGGTCAGGTGTAGAAGGCTGGATTAAACGCCAGGGCTGTAATCATGCAAAAATGGCTGCACCTGGGGCTGTAGCTGGCCTATGGCTGCCCTCCCTACCCTTTAAGTCAGGTGGAGGAAATAGGCCTAGCCTTGGGGAAGGTGGAGTTTGAGCTCCTCTGCTTTGCAAAAATGGTGCAGGCTGCAAAGTATGTGAAATTTCCTCACCAAATACAGCTGGAAGGGCAGGTAAGCAAGTACTTTAACTTCTTTTAATGTCTGTGCTCGAGTTCCCCTTCTGAGGAACACAGGGGCACAAGGAGAAGTCATGGCTGTGGTCTGCGTGTGCTCAGAAGCGGGCATATTCAGCAGAAACAAAGAAAAATAGAAAACCCCGACTAAATTACAAAGCAGTGAGATGTTGAATTTGAAAAACAACTTATTTTCTAAGGCTAGCAATTCCTCTCAATTAGTACAGCATCATTGTCCAATTTACTGCAGGGAGCATCCAATCTGTCATGCCAGGACTGCAGAAGTAAGATAAATGGCCTGTCTCATCAAGGTCACTCCTCTCGCTCCTGACTCTTGCAGTGGTGTTTTCCCTCTGGCACGGTCTGCTAGGCTCATCGTTCCATACTGTGGGCTGTCTGCCTCCTGAAAGAACTGAAGGCTCTGGCAGTTGTGGAGGAGGTGACAGGATAGCAGGGCTCCCTAGGAGCCTGGCCTGCAGCCACCAGGACTCTGCTTACCCAGAAGGCGTGACAGCACTTCTCAATGGTGTTTCCACCCTCTGCTCATCCCCTCGTATTCCTAATGTAGGGTTTTCACTTTTCTGTCAACACTGAAAATCCTAGCAAATTTCTTTGCTTCCATCTATTGCTCTTTTGGGACAAAATCTCCTATACTCACTGTGTGGCCAGGCCCCATGTACCAGCCACATCCTCTCAGCCGTATGGCTGAGTGAGGCTGCGTGGTTTTGGCTTGAAACACAGTTGGCCTTTCTATTAGGAATCATTAGATAGTGTGCCTATATTTTGTTTCTGCCATTTAAGTGTGATATACTTTCAGTGTGTTTTCCCCGAATCTCTCTTCTGCGTGTCTCAACAAGTATGACCGAGATGACCTACATTTCTGAATCTGTAATAATTATCCTGAAAATATGTTTTGAATAATTTTTCAGTCTTTGGAGGCTGAATGTGCTTTGTTCCTTCTTCGACCCCTTTCTCTGCTTGACAGCTTGGATTTTGGTTTACCAGGAGAGCAATTAGTGTAATGGTGGCAAACTTCATTTTGTGTTTGCTGTGAGAAGTAAGATGTGTAATGTCACTGCAACTGAGAAGTGTACCTTCATTGTAGAATTGCTCCAGCAGATAAACTTCAAAATAGCCCCTACAGTCATCAGTCATGAGGAAAATCTTCAACTGTGAGTAGGGCATAAGCTCCTGTCAGATCATTTTACTTGTTCCACATGCAGGATGAGGTGAGCATTTTTTATCATATGAATTTACCCACTCAAAGCACCTCTTTTGCTAATTCTGAGGCTTCTGAGGTACTTCACTAGTGACTGTTGCGAAACAGACATCCAGCTAATGAACTTGCCCTGTGTTCCCAGTGGTTTTTGGAGCTGCTGGCAGTCCCCCTCTGGCTGCTAAAACTCCTTTCCTCTGAATATTTCTATGTGCTACCAATAAAATATCTTCTGAGGCTCTAGTAACACAGGACAAGACAGATCTCTCTTAACCAAATATTAACATAAGTAATAGGCAATCAAATAGGCAATCAGATTGTTCTTTTGAATTTAGATATATGAACCTTACTTTTCTAATACTATTTGTAAACTTAATTTAGATAATACAACTATGACATTTTCAGGCTGTCATCAATATGACACCCACACTCAGAAAATCCCAGTGGGTACCAAAATTAATGATCTTGACCGAGCCCACAGGGTTTGCCTGGGTGCTTTCTCACTTTGCCTCCTCCTTCCCCTTTACTCAAGTGCTGAGAAGACGTATATGGAGGGGAAAGGGACCTGAGGGAAAGCATAAATCCTGGCAACCTGACTGTCAGGAGGGTATCATTTTTTAATTCCTGGTTTGCGCTCCCAGTGGCAGTGAAGCTGAGATATGGAATTGTTTTGTTCCACCTCTGCTTTGTTTGTAGGTGCTGGAGCAGTGGCAGCCACAGCCCCTCTGGCTCAGAGGTAAGGGACCACGCAGCAGCAAGCTTGCCTGGAGGTTTTGTTCTCATTTGATAGGTCGCCCTGGCACTCATTGCAGGAGCAGCTGGGAAGGAATAATTAGCATAACAAAGGGCTATATTATAGTATTGCATTGTGCATTTCGAGCCTTCAGATACCTTGACACATTCAGTTGCGTGTTGCATACCTCTGATTTCCAGGTAGAACCAGACAAACAATGAAAGAAATAGACCATCCACAGCTTTAAAGTGCAAAGAATATGAATAATCCCGAATGCCTCAATGTTTGGGTGCAGCCATGCTGCAGGTACGTTCCTCTGGACTGGGTCATTGCATCGTGGCAAGGGGAGTGCAGTTCTCCCTCGCTAATGGAACAGCCCTGGGAAATTCAGGGCCAAGTCTTCCTGACGTGCCTGTGGGCACATTGGTGACTTGTCCCACTTTAATGGTGTGAGGTGTTGATACAAGCTCTGCCTGGATGCTCCTGGGCATGCAGCCCTGCTCTCCCTCCTTGCTTGTCTGCTCTGCCTGCGGCATTTGCAAAACCTGTGGGTTCATGAGCTGCTCTCTGCTGCCTGCCTGTGCTGTGCCCACCTGCGGCCCGGCTGCCCACGCACCTCTCTTTCCTCCTCCCCCCTTCTGCCTGGTTTTTGGCTGATGAAAGTTACCCTCCCTGGGAGCTGGAGAAATGCAGAGAAAAAAGGAAGCGAAAATATCCCGGGGAAGGTTTTTCAAAGCTGATCATCCCCTGGGTCAGATGTCTGTCAGATGCACAGCATCTCGCTGTCAGAAAGAGGGATTTAAAACCTAACCTGCAAATGCAGCTCTCCTGCCTCCCTCAGATCAAGAGTCCCTGGCAGGATGGGAGAGCAAATCCCAACTCTGCCAGCCCTGCAGGCACTCTGCGCTGTGGCAGGGAGCTGTGTATGCTCTCATCCACTGTTTACTTCTGCAAAACCTGGATATGCTTCTCCCAGATGTTTGTATTCAGCACAGCCTCAGCAAGGAGAGAGGTGTAGGAAAATGAGCAAAGAGCACAGAAGATTCTGCTGCTCAGTCATGGTTGTGCATGGGTAGAAAGGCTGCAGGACCTCTGCTAGAGGGAACGGGAGAGGGAATGGGCAGAAGCATCATTGCAGTAACATTCTGTGCTTCTGAAATGGCCGTGGTTGTTTTACAGAGCCATAACTCATACTGTTACAAAAAACAATGTTGTTTAGGTTTTATGCCTTTGATAGTAATAATAAGGTTATCAGAGAAACATTTATCAAAACTAATGAGACTCTTTACATTTAA